GGGGGGTCGCGAAGGATTCGCTACGGGAGGATCTCGGCTTGTCGGAGGATGAGTTTCGCTCTTACTGGTCTTGGGCGCCAGCGGCGGATTACCTCAGTAACCCTGAGTTTTCGCTTACCTGGCGATTGGCTCGGAATCGGCTGTCTCTCAATGACGATGTCTTCATATGGGGCTTGTCGGATTTGCCAGACTGTGAACGGTGTGGCCTTGGTTTAGAAGAAACGGCTCCGCACGCCTTCTACCATTGCCCCCGTGTCCGCCCCTTATGGGACCATGTCGGCGAGCTGACGGCTCGTCTCTCGCGAAAAGCTTGTGCCCATTGATCGCGCATACGCGTGTGACGATGTGTCGCCCCCGTATTCCGGGGTGAAACGGATGGTGTTTCTGACGCTGCTAGCCACGGCCCGAATGGTGATATGGACGACGCGACAGGAGGAAGTCTTGGGGGGTTTCCGTCTTTCTCATCAGGATCTGATCCGATTCTTTGAGCATCAGCTCAAGATGAAGATTAGAACTGATAGAAAACGCTTGCATCCGGCAGTCTTCAGCGAAAGGTGGGTGACTGAGGCGAGCTTGGTTCGTTTGAACGGGGCTAGCCTTGATTTTCTCTTTTAGGTCAAGCCTACGTCACATCGGGGTGGTTTCCTGTGGAGCCCTCCCCTTGGTTAGGTTAGACAAGCTTTTGTGTACCTAGTTAATGTGAGTAAGTGTTGTTCCCGGCCTGCCCCTGGCCACATCTTTAGTTATGATCCAGCCTGAGATTCCCAACCTCCCCAGTTTGTTTTTGGTCCCCTTTTTATCTCGACTGGGTCAGCTTTATATTTTCCCATGCCCGTATGATTTTTTTATCCTTTTCCCACTCCCTTAGCGAGAGAGCCTCTTGATTTTGGCCAATGGGCAGAATACAGTGGCCTCTCTGTTTTGAGGGTTGGACGGGTCCTACTAACATCAGTTATGTTTAATTTGATTTGTGTTAATATTTTAGTTTGTTATTGGGTTCATCCCCCCGGATATAAGAGAAACCCGGATATCATTTTCATCGGTCCCGAATTTTAAACGGGTTACACTGTATATCTTTTAGTATTATTAAATTTTTTATGACACGGGGCGCGTTTTGTAGGTCTCCCTAGAGTGGATGTGGTATTATGGTGCATGGAGGATTGATTGGTGACAGACGAGTTCTTATGGTGAATGGGTAAATTGTAATGTATGAATGGGTCGTGAATCAGATTAGCTAGGTATAAGATAGTTAGTGAAGACCAGTCGTTACCCCTTCCTTTTTCGGCCTTGTGCCACAATTTTGTACTTTTACAAAATAATTAAATACGAAAATTCACTTACATTCGTAAACATGCCTCCTAAAGCAAGTTCTAAGGATGCTAAGAAGACCGTGAAGGCTAAGCCTGTCCGGACCGATGGCAAAAAAAATTAAACGCAAGAGGAAAGAAAGCTGCTCCATCTACATCTACAAAGTGATGAAACAAGTTCATCCAGATACCGGCATTTCCAGTAAAGCCATGTCCATCATGAACAGTTTTATCAACGATTTCTTCGAGAGAATTGCCTCTGAATCTAGCCGTCTGGCCCATTACAATAAGCGTCCAACCATCACCAGCCGTGAAGTTCAGACCGCTGTCCGTCTTCTTCTGCCCGGAGAATTGGCTAAACATGCCGTTTCTGAAGGAACCAAGGCTGTTACCAAATACACTAGCAACAAGTAAAGACCGGATAAGATTTTGACAAGAAACGACCCTTTTCAGGGCCACTCATATTTTCAAGGAAGTCTTTGCGCTTACTATGTTATGCAGTTTTTCTTTCTCATTTTATTTCCATGAAGAATGAATCCATATTTTATAAAAATAGTCTGAAGGAAATGGCTTGCTTCAAAATTGGAATTCTCTTAAATTCTCGCCTAGTACATACGGACTTTTTCCTTAATTTTTTTCTAAATTGTGTTTTTCTATCAAAAATTTGACCGGCTGTGAACGCATCGAAATTATGGTTTCAGATCAGATTTTTTTTTTCTTCCAGGATAAAAACTTGAAACTCAGTCCTTATCGTCTGAAGAATCGAATAAAAAAAATGTTTTGAATATGAACATTTTAACTTTTTTCTGCCGACGATAAATAAGTTCTGAATGAGGTCCTTTGCCAAACACAATGCATTTAGTTTTGTTTTTTTTTTGTTTTTTATAAATCTGCAGTTAAGGTTTGCTTGCCAGTTTCGTTTTCATTTTTTTTATTTTATGGCACTAGTATCGAAAGTTTAAACGGGTATATTAACGTCGAACGATCAATTTAATGTCGCTTTTAAAGTGTTTTACTTTGTCCACATTAGAACCGAACTGGAGTTTTTATTTTATTTAGATTTTTTTTTTTCATAGAATCTTTAAAAAGATTTTTTAACTACAGTCCATTATATTTCTAATAAAGCTAATTTTTAACGTAAAATGTTCGTGGAGGTATCAAAAAAAAAAAAAAAAAAAACTAATTTGAGAACTAATGAATCTTTTCATATCAATTTTTTTGTGCATTAAAATTTGAAATGCTTGATGGGATGTCATTATTCATGTCTTATTGACCGAACTTTTAAGCATAGAAGAATAATGAAATAAAAATTGTTTTATGCTTTTTAGTTTCGCTTTTATTTGGCAACCTAATAAAACTTTCAATTTTTTTTATCGAAAGAAACTGAAATCTGAACATTGGCATTTAATACAAAATGTTGATTTCATAAAAGTAAAACGAAATATAGATTCAGTATATTGATTTAAATTTGTTTTTCGTGTGTTAAATACTAAAACTTTTTATTTTCTGACCGGATCCTTCGAGGTCAGTGAAAATTCTCAAATTTCATTAAAAAAAACAAAAAAACGGATAACATTTCTCTGGATTATATTCTATTTTTCACAACTGAATTATTTAAGGATTTTTTATGTAGCTTAAAAAGAAAACCTTAAAGTTCCCACTGGACTTTTTCCTAAAACTTTTTTGTACCGAACGAGCATTTAAATTTGATTATTTTAGCGATAAAATATCTCTACAATTGCGCCTTGCGTAATGGTAACGCGCTCTAGTAGTCTAGTCTCACTCAACATTAAATTAATTTAAAAATATATGTAGTAGTTTTCCTTTTATTATTGAAAGTAAAGTTAAAAATATGTAAGCCACGTGAACGTTTCCTCTCTACTTGTGTGCTTCAAATTTTTGTAAGTAGGTCACTCGAAAGTAAGGGTTTTATTTACATTCGTAAAAAAAAAAGCCTCCTTTCTCTATTTAGGCGCGTAATTAATCGGAGTTATTTGAGGTTTATGATTATTTGCAGACACATGAAATCCTTGCTTTTATTATTTCATAGCAAACATCTAAAAAAAAAAAAAAAAAATTTTTTTTTTTTTTTTAAATGATTTTCTGATCATTGTAAACTGGCATTATCCCCAGAATATTCATTATTCTATAAGTGAAACAAGAATAATGTAGTTCTGTTGATTTTGTAGGAAAATCTTATTTGCGCCATACATAGATTGCATTGGGATCAATATACAAATAAAAATGAATAATAAAAAAAAAAAAAAAACAGAATCACAAAAAGCTGTTAGGTTACCAAATTTTCTAACATTATTAGTTTATTAATTTATATAGGTACATATAAAAAATGATCATACATGATGAAAAAAATGCCGCAAACTTAAAAACAATTTTATGGTATAAAAAAAAACCCAAAAAAACACTAATTTTTTTTTTTTTGGCAAGATCTGGTAAATGAAACTTACCGAACTTATTCAAATTTTTTTTAATGTTAAAATGTTAAAACTCCTACATTTATTTAATTTTATGAAATTTAGAGATTTTTTTTTTGTTTTTTTGTGCGCTTATTAGTCCTCGGAGAACTTAAATCCTGAAACAAGAAACTGACATTAGAAATGCTTTTAATTTTATGTATAATCATTTATGGATACTATGGTCTTGTTGACTCTTGAGGGAAAAAAAATCAATGAATAATGACCGTTTTACTTTTACTTACAAGAACTGTTTTCATTTTATTTTATTTTCTAATTCTCCTTACATTCTGTATTAATTTGTTGCGGTGAAGTGATATTAAGTTAGAAAATGTATCTAAATGGAAAAGCTAACTTTTTAAAAGAATTTTGAGTTTATCTTATGTGTATACTATAAACTTTTTAAAAATATATCGATTTTTGTAAATACGGATGTCCAAACGCGATATGATAAAAAATAAGAGCAATATAGTACAATTAAAATTATTTGTAATTTCCTTAAACGTCTTCGTAATTTAGCCTATAAAGCCAAAGTACATAAAATATTACTTTAAAACTAGAATATTTTCTTAAATTTTAAAAATTACTAGGTAGTTAAAAATGTCAATTTATTCAAGTAATCGTTCATGTCTCCGCATAAAAACACCCATCTTTGTCTTATAAAAATAATTTTTTCGGCGATATTTTTAAACAAAATGTACGTAATATTTGTTTCAAATCACAGTTAAACTTTAAATCGGCTAATGTAATCTTTCTCAAATAAAGTTTGAAAGTAATTTTATTATCGAAAGATTTTTTTTTTAAAGAAAATTACGTTGTGTTGACAAACTTGCGAATATGGCCGATTTTAGCTATTTTTTTTACTGATTTAAAAAAAAATCTGTTTAAAATAAATTCAGTTTGATATACAGCAAAGTACTTTGCTTGTTGGAAATATAAAATTAATCTATTAGCTCGTTAAGTTAAAAGTAAAAGAAAGCTTTAAGAAAGATTTTTCATTTGTAAAAAGAAGAAAAAAAAATGCATTTTAAACCTTATGTATCGCTTTTCTTTGGAAGTACCTAAACCTAACTATAATTTTTATTTGATTTATGTGAATTTAAAAGAGCAGTCAAAATTGTTTAATTCATAGCTTATTAATTAGATCACATACAGAAATAATTTTCTACATGTTGAATGCACAGAAAGTTTGGTTTTAATTAAAATATAATCATTGTCTGTGTCAGTTGTCGTTATCATCATCATCATCATCAACTTCATCATCAGTCATTTTTATTGTATTTCCATAACCTGCCAAAGAAATCAGTCAAAATTTTATGCCTGGAGAAAAATGCTAAAATCAGAATTCATTAATAAGATACAGATACAACCTGAAATGAACTAATACAATGTGAGTATATGTGTTTTTGTGTGGTGGTGGGGGGTAACAATACATCCTATGGATTTTATGTTTGAAGGAAAATATCCCAAAATTATGATATCCATAGTAATTAGTGAAGTAAATTGTAAAACATGCCTGCTAATGATTGGGCTACCGTAAAACACTATAGTTAGCCGAGTCTCATACCAGACTATAATTGCAGTTATGTCTGAACTCACACCGGGAGTAAAGATCTTGTGCAAATCATGAAAATGCCCATTGTATCCTATTCATTATTTTGACACATCTGAAGAAAACCTAAAAAATAGTAGCTTTTTTCTTTTCTAACCATTAAGATGATAGAAGGTAGACATTTGAATTTACCCTCTAACCAATAAATGTATTACAAATAATAGTTGAATTTACTAATGATGTTCTGCTAAAACATCTTTTCTTGGGACCCCCACCTCTGCAACATATATCAGGATCTGTCTGGATATTTTAGTTTCACCTGATAAAAAAAATTTAATTAACAATGTTAATCTATGTGAGCTATCTCCCCTAAAAACTCTCCCTGCCGGGAAAAGGACTTCCGGTCGGAAGTCGGGGCGGCGGCGATGTTTGTTTATACTGTGTAGTGAGTGAGGAGTCGAATAAAATATTCTCTCCGTATCCGTTGTCGAAGTCCGTCATTCACATGTTTATATTTTTCTTTATGCACCTTGACAGTCCTTTATTTTTATACTAACATTGGTAGCAGTCGTGGTGTTATGGCTTCAAAGCACATTTCACCACCCGTTAGTTAAAGACAAGTATATACGTGGAAAAAAAGAAATGAAATCTGGGAAATGGCCAAAGTCGTTTGACAAAACAAAAATTATGAGCCCCATAGTATTTCTTTCACTGGAAGGAAAACCCAGAGAAGCTGTATTGGAATTGGATGTTGCGGCACTTAATTCTGAGGATGGAATGGCTAAACTGTATGAAAAATTGGACACGCTTTTTTGGAAGATATAAACCAGTCGGCCTTTCTGGCCTCTGAGACTTTTCGAAGGATACCGGAGACAGCCTGAAACATCAGTGGAAGACTTTCTCATCAACTTTATTGACACGTTGCTAAGTTGAAAGATTTCAACATCAAACAATATAAGAAATTTAAACATTCACTGTATTTTTTTTACCTGTCCCATCTATCTCTTAAATAGTTGACCAGATGCTAGTTATCAGAATATTATTCTAGACATCACCATGGCTCAATGATGCTTGCCAATATAGACAGGAACAGATCATAAAATTCAGTCATAAGTCCCATGACCAACTGTGGTCACTGCACAGTGGAGCACCTGATCAGCTCCTTCCATGTCTTGATAGATATTTCTTTCATGTATAGCAGGTCTTGGGCAAAATAGAGATGGCAGAGGCCATCACACTGCAAATCAGACCACAACTGATGTCCTCCAACTTGAAGGCTCACCTTGATCATTGAGACATGACTTTATTCCATTGGAGGAATTTAGGATGTAGTGTGATTTTTAAGATTTTTCTCTTGTTTGAACAAATCATAAAAATGTGTTGTTTCAGTAAACAGGGCTGAAATAAAATCAGAGTTAAAATGTGTGATACAAGATCAATACTGGAAATAAAATAACAGAACATGTTTTATAAATGCATTTTCATCTCAATTTGAATCCGTGACTGGCCATGGTTTAGCTAGTGGAATCTGACAGCTGTTTGAAATGTTCTAGGGAGCTGAGTTCATCCAAGTTAAAATAGAACTCATCAAAATTGTGGGTTTCTCCCCCCTCACTCCCTACAAAAAAAAAAAAAAAATTAAAAATTAACTCTGGAATATAGGACTTTGGTGGCCATAGAACTACTATTACCATTTAAAAAAAAAAAAATTAACATTTCTGATTTTTAAATTTGTAAGATGAGGTGTAATATCATGTAGCACCATTTCTACCTGTGCTAAATTAGAAACTCACTCGATTTTATTCTTCTGTAAGAATTTCAGTCTTTGTGAATTTTTTAGCCCAGTACATCTTCCATGACAAACCAGGCTGCTGGGGGATCAACCATGTTTGGCAATCTATCTCTATAAGGCAATGTCTTATGACGTTTTACTAGCACAACCAGTGACAGCTTCCAAATAGTTTTGTCTACCCAATTTAATTTACAAAGAGGAATTGAAAATAAAAATGATTTCAGTAAACAAGAGAAATTTGAAATAAAATCAGGCTTAAATATGTGTGACACAAGGTCAATACTAAAAGTAAAAAACAGTACAGGTGTTATAAAGAGTACAATTTTGTCTAAATTTGAATAAGAGACAAACCATTGTTTAACTAGTGAAATCAGAGCTGTTCTGGAAAGTAATGAATTCATCCAAGGGAAAGTAGTCATCAAAATAAAAGGCTTGTTTTTTATTTTATCCCCCCTCTACAAGAAAAAAAAAATAAATAAAAAATTGAGGACCACCAAAAATAATAAGGTTTGGTGAGAAGTCATCTTGTTCACTTTAAATTATTTTAACAAAAAGGAAATCTTTATATCTTATGTGGTAGCAGGTTTCCCAGGAAAAAGACAAAAGGTAAGATTAACTGTCCAAATTGTTCCATTTGTCAATCTTATTTTATTATTAACAACCCATGAGTCAAGGGCATATGGAATGGAACCTGTTTGTGCATGATTAACATTTCTCTTGACTAATTATTGCTATTTTTCTTCCATATTGATTTAATTCACCTAACTCCATTTTAAAATTGCTGAAGAAAATATTTTCAAATTGTATTTCTCCTTAAATAGGTTATCTTGGAAGTAATTAATCTACTAAGACTCAAAATCTATGGCACAACTACTGGCAAACCAAGAGAGTACATGAAGACAGGAGAATTGATAGATGTGATTCAGTCATCTACTCACTATGATAGTGATAGAAGTAGAACAAAGGGTTAAGTGTGGGGAAAGGGGTATTTTGGCTACTGTGTATGCATATTCTTGCCTCCAATTGAAAGAGTCCATTTATCTTGCGAGATTGTGACACTATTTAGCTATGGTAATTGGCTAACTAATTAACCATAGAAATTAAAAACAGGAAAGACTTAAGGCAAGAAAGAGCTATATTGAAAGATAGACTGAGTGATGTTAAAAAGAAGATTTTATTTATCCGTAAGAAAAAGCGAGATATGAGATTCTGTCAAAACTGATTAATGTCATGATAAGGGACTGACGCACCAAGAGAAACAGAATTCAGAAAGAAAAACAAAGCCGGATGATAAATGGCGTTCATAAAAAATTTTTGGCTTGAGACCACTGCTGTACAGGCAGAGAGAATCGATATTATCTTTCGGAGATATCATTTAATTTTAGTTCCTGGGTTCCATGAAGGGAACCATCTGGTATGTGTTAGAATTCTGGCACGAGGAAGAAAATCATATTATTATTGCTTATCCAAAATGTTGATGTCAGACACAGCGTTGTCGAAAATGGGCATCTGGTGATAAGAGGATTTTACGGTATGAGAAAAATAAAGAATTTGATTCTCAGGTAAAACACGGACCACCCAGTTAAAAGTTGACTTAGCAGAAAAGCCAGATGTGGGGTTTTGACAGTGATTGATGAGTCGCTATACAGACCTGACTAAGTGAATTTTGGGTGTCCCCAAAAGAAAGATGTGATAAGAATTATTTGGCAATTTTGGGTTTGTGAAAAAAAGAAAAATGTTTTGGCTGAAGGAAAAAAAGAAAAAAAAAGATTTTGTAAACAAAATTCTGGATAATAATTTTAAGAGGGTCAGTCTAGCCACACCCACACTGCCGAGAGATCATTGGTCAAGTGGTAGCATGGGTGATAGGCAGAGGTGAATGTATGAGAAAGACGGAGAAGTTGTTAACACCCACTGAGGGGATTGGTATGAGATACCAATGTGAGAGAGGAAGAGTCTAGGAGGATAACTCTCCTCCAACCTTCCCTCACAGATGAGGGAGAAACCCCTGAAATGGAAAGTGATTAATCTTCCAAAAATGGGAAGTAATTAATTTTCCTGGCCTAAGAACAAAGAGAATTCTTGTTGAGAATCGAGAATTATTGAGGAACCCAAACCACGTCAGGCCCCACACCGGGTTTTGGTTGGTGTCCATATAAACGAACATCCCCGGGCAGTTGATTTGCAGTTGGAGTTCAATCAGAGTGTTGCCTTGCAGAAGCTGACCGAGAAATTCCATGTCCTTCCGACTTCGACTTCCTACCAAAAGCAAGTTATATTGATAAACGACTTAAGATACCAAAAATTCAAGAAATGCACAAGTGTCACAAATCCATAGAAACAGGCTGGGAGAGAAACACACTCCTGTATATAACAGACGGATAAAGATAATTTATTATTTCTCAACATAGTTGAACCTCTTGAGTTCAGTTTTATTGCTTCTTTTACTTACGCTTGTGCGATATCACCTTCACCCTGGATTCAGCTTGCACTATGGCCCAACGCCTGATTGATTTTGTCTACTTAAGATCAAAGTCACAACGTGGGTAAGTTAGACTTGAGATCAAAGTAGTTACTTCGGTAACCAGATGTTGGAAGTGAGCTGGGAACGACAAAGCTGGTATTGAACCGAGAATGACCAGATCGACCGGGACACAGGCTGGTGGCAGCGACAAGGAGTCAACTCCAAATGCTGGTGGAAGAAACCTTACAGCTTTGCACCACAATTGGGAGTTGACCACGGGCCAACAGCGCAGTGTCACATATTGGCATCACGACCAGAGGACGTCACATATTGGCGCTGCGACCACCAGCGGTGTCACAAGATAAAGTTTGATCAAAATCCAGTCCTTTGGTGGTAAAACTGTAGTGACCTCTCCAGGGCACAGGCCTGAGTGATGATATACGGAGGCCATGCACAGACCAGTCTACATGGTCCACCTCTTGGCCATACTGACAAGATCCAAAGGAAAACTAGGCATTACATTTGGGGATGGCTTGGCTGCAGGAGTTGCCTGAAATTTGTCAGTTGAAATGGCTAGATATAATCATAAATACTATGCTAACAGTTTCTTCCATTGCACTTCTTACATGTTGAACTTTCTTCTGGTTTCTTAGTCAACTTTGATCTCAAAAAATTTTAAATGTAAATGTCAATTATTATCTTCTTTTAATTCTTGTTCTTTTATTGTCCTATCTCCCTAATAGTATTTTCTCATATTCTCTAACATTCAGTAACCCCTTGTGTCCTAGTGGTTTTATTGCCTTGTTTTGGATGAAATAATTTAAACATACATACATACATACATACATACATACAACTCCACACTTTGGAGAACATTGGTATAATGCCTTAAAGAATAGTTTTCATCAATAAACTATGAAATCAGAGACAGCAACAATACAGATTATTAGAGAGTGAGTGCAATCACCAACAACAAGAAACCATGATGTACATCTATTGGTGCTTACCCTCTTAAACAATTTTTGTCAAACCTTGTGTGTTTTTTAAAATCAGCTCACCATTTAAATTTTCTATTAATTTTTGATGCAACAGTTAAATTGGTATTAATATAGAAATATACTCCACATAAAATGGGGGATTGGTTTTCTATTGTTACTAAGTAATAAACCGATCTCCCTTGAATTAGTACAACACAATAATATGGGAGATACCAAAATCAAAGAAATACAAAACTGAAATATCTGGGAAGTGTTTTAAACCTGGATTGAAATAGATTTATGCAATGAGATAAATAAAATTTCAAAATACATTTTAAAAAATTAAACAGAGAATTAAATTTAATAAAAAAATTGATTAATAAATAAAGTAAAAAATTAAAATGAAATTTTTGTTATATCAGTCCTCTTAACATGGCATTAATAATGGAACTCTCCTCAAAGATTTTTTAAGAAATTTTTATTTTATTTTTCAAATGTGGTTCTAAAAAAGATTGATACAAGAATTAAACATAATTAAAAAATGGAAGCAAAAAATTAAAAATAAACACCAAAATTTGTTTGTATTTGGAATTTCTAATTCTCAATGATTTGAGGAAATAGGGCTTTGGGAAATCATTATCACAGGACAGATTGCAGGCTAGAGAAAAACTCTTTATAGATGGTATGTTCAATAAAAAGGTTTAGGAGATAATAAAAAGACAAAAATTTCTTAAAATTGTAAATAAAATACAAAAAATTAAGAAACTGGATTGATCACCTTTTCCTGAAAAATTACAGGACTTAGAAGAATATGTAATGGAAAAATATTTTAAAAAAAAAGACTTACAAATGACAGCCATCTAATAATGTTAAGGACAACAAAATGTTAGAATGTTGTCAAGTTTTAATATGTTGTATTTTTAAAATTAAGTTTGGGCCCTTTTTGAATTTTTTTTTAATAAAAAAAAAAAAAAACTTTTTTTTTTCCCAAAATATACCTCCCACATTAAATAAATTTGAATTGATTAAATATATTTACACAGTATTCATGTATAAATAAAGTTTCATAATTTCAAAATTAAATAAAAAACATTTATTATTTATCTGTATGTGATTTTTTGCCCATATAAAAACCTCCAGCCACTGAAGACGAAATCCCATTAAGAATAATGATTTTTGAATTTAATAGTTGTGTTGTCATATCCTGCAATGGCAACATAAAGCAAAAATTTTTTTAAATGGTTTTTTATTTATACTGCAATTGAGAAATATCTTGAAAAAAAAATGCATGGGTAAATAATATTAATAATGCATTTTTATAAAAAATTATTTAATTTATGATTAAGGAATATTTTGTAAATTTTTACATCCAAATTTTTTTGTCTTTAAAATTTTTTTTTGAATGCTATGAAGATGTGGATAAAAATTTTTTCCAGTTCAAATTTGTTATTGTTTGTAATTTTTTTTATTTTCAACCAAATGAAATAGACTTTTTCAACTTTTTTTAAAATAAACTTGTTTGGATAAATACTTATATATATATATATTATGGTGGACTTTATACTCCAGAATCGTATTTTTCAAATGTCTTAGGGTCAATAAGCTCAGTTTCTAAAACCAGCAATCCAGATACCAGCAATAAATGATCTGATTATAGTGGTCAAGGCTTTTTGCAGAACCAAAAACACTTTTTGATCAAAATACAGAATCTTGGTGCACTATGTGCCTGAAAATTTTGCAACTATCCAAAGGTTTTTGAATTTTTGAGTTTCTTAATCCTATATCAGTTGCCATCAAAAAAATAGATAAAACCCAGTCTGTCCTGATTTAAAATAACTGGAGAAAAAAAGGAGGATTAATACCTTTTTTAAAATAAATTTTAAACGTAAATAAATTTTATGGATTCAACATTTTTTTGAACTCATCTCCGATTCATTCAATCTGAACCACTATCCACTACACCACTTAGCAACTTTAGACATGACAAAGAAAATTTTAGTTCAAGAAACAAAGCACAACATCAATCTCTTTTTCATGATGTCAATTCAAGTTACATTTAAGATGAAGTATAAACTATCTTGTGTGATAAAGATGGAATCATGTTTGATTTTCTCCTCCTGCTTTATTTGATTCTCTCACTCTGCCATCAATTTATTTAATAGCCATTTCAAATTATTTTTTTTTTTGCTCATATCTAAAATAAACAATGTTAGTTTTGTATGCTCCAAAGACAAAAATTGTATTTGGGATTTTGTATTTCTATCACATTATTCACCTTTTTTTATGGTATTTTTTGTTATTAATGTTAAATAGCACAATTTTTTTTTAAATCTTAAAAGTTTACCAAATGCTTAGTTTTCAAAAACATCTATATTATGATAATTTGTTCAAATGATGCTATCTATACTGAAATTTAAAATTCTTTGTGATTGCAGGAGACATATATTTATGATATGTTATAGAGGTAATATTATTATGGTAGCATGTTGATTTTTTTCAAATAAGAGATAGTGTGATTATAGCATTATATGTTGACAAATAACATTCAATTATGCCTAAACAACATCTGAAAATTTCATTTTTCCTTTGACATCTTATCCCTATGACATCCTGTGGGTGAAGAGAAAAAATTTTAAAATTTAATTAATTTTGTGAATTTTCTTCAAATAAACATAATACAAAGAAATCATTTTTTTTATGATGAATAAGACTATTTTTATTATTTTTTTAAACTTCATTTCACCCAATTACACAAAAATAAGTAGCTATTTAAGGTAGGGTTACTGAAATTTGCCTGTCAAAAAAACAGCATGTCTTATAAGAAACCATAAAAATTTAAGATATAACATTTGGGTGAAAATGGACTTCCCAAATGTTAACAATTTGTATTGGTCAGAAAAGATCCTGTTTTCTAATTCTACAAATTATTTACAGTTCTGATTAGCCATCCAAAACGGATATTGATTACAATGTTTAAAAGGATGGAACACAAAGGGGAGATGATTTGTCATCATGGACATGACAAGTCCTAGTCTGAACTGGCAGGAATTAAGAAATTCCTTTTCGTTTGAACATTTTTTGTTTATTTAATCAAAAACATTAAAAATTACCAAAACCAAGACAGTGATAATCCAAGATTAATATTTTTTTTTAGACAATTTTTTATTTTTTTTCACCAACAATTATATTTTATTTCAAATAAAGATTTGTTAAAACATCTCTTAATAATTCAACACACAAAATTTTCATTTTTTTCACTGGAGTCAAGAGGATTTTTTTTTTCAAAAAGTATTTTTAATGCATTTTTTTGGTTCAAATCATTGCTTCCAAAACTAAGTTCACTAAAATTGTTTATTCCTGAAGTTGATAGTAAAGATCATTAATACTTACCATGTTTTTTGAATGTGTCTATTTTTCATTTATTGAAAATTGAGATCATGTATATTCTATTCCATTCTTCATTTTCAAAAGAAAATTGGAAAATCTTTTGTCTTTATATCGTTAAATTACATTTTCCAACTTTTAATCTGTATATTTTAATGGTTTTCAAAGGAATGCAAAAATCTTTTAATACAAGATATCTTTGTTGTCTTTTTTTGTTCTATATCAATATTTAGACTTATTACAGTTATCAACAATATTTTATTTTAATGCCATAATTTTATCTGTTTTTTAATATATTTATATATATATATATATAATCCAATTCTATTTTTTATATTGATTTTCATTTATATTTGATTTTCTTCAGATAATAATATATTTATATATGATATATATTTAATATATATGGTTCGATGGATAAATTTTCATCTAAATTATACAAAAAATGAAAATTTGATAAAAATACTTGTGTCTCATTTTAACAAATATATTTACAAAAAATTTAACAAAATTTAATTTCTTTTTAAATCAAATTTGTTTGGAAAAATACTAATTTATTCAATTCAAAAACAATCACATTGGCTTCAATGTTCCATGGCCCTCCAGATGACTTTTAACATAATCTCCTGCAACTCTTCTGGACAGTCTCCTTGTTTAAGTTGGTGAATGCTGCCATAATCCTTGCCTTCAGTTCATCTTTGGTGTTTTACAAGGAGTTTTGTTGGTCTCTCAACTCAACTGCCCCCACACATAATAATCAAGGGGGTTGCAGTCTGGGGAGTTAGGTGGCCAGATGTAAGGGGTGATGTGGTTGCAGAAATTGTCTGACAGCCATGACTGGGTTCTCCTGCTTGTGTGGCATGGTGCAGAGTCCTGTTGCCAGACATAGGGTCTTCCAGCAGCCACCCTCTTGACCCAGGGCAGCACTACCTCCTCAAAGGCACTTGATGTAGGCCTCCATGTTGAGTCTGAGGCCCTGTGGGAAAATTTGGGAGGCATAACATCACCATCACTCAGAGTCATTTTTCCAAACACCTTCATAATCACCATTAGACTCATCCAACTCTTTCCGAATCCTCTGCACTGTCCTCAGATTGACACCCAAACACTCTGAAATGTTTGTATTGGAGCTTCCAGTGCGAATGCCAAACAGTACAGCATGTGGTTTCCAAATTTCTGGCAGAGTGAATTGTGTGTGCTCTTTCTTTCTCTCACAGATGGTGCCCAACTGACCCTACTATACTGAGCAGTTGACAAAATCAAAAACAAACAATGTGCATGTGCAAAAATTAAAAATATAAAAATGGCAACAATTTACCCATCGCACCCTGTGTATATATATATATATATATATATATATATATATATATATATATATATATATATATATGTATTATATATATATTTATTATTTTATATATTTTAAACCATTTTATGTATTTTGATTTAAAAATTTATTTTTTTATTTATTATAAATATTATATATATTAGTGAAAATATTTTTTTTTAATTATTTTTTTTTTTGCATTTTTTTTTTTTAATATTTTTTCTATTTAAATGGTTCAAAAATTTTTAACATTGTTTTATAGAATGATATTTAAATTTATTTTTAATAAGTAAAAACTTTTTTAAAAATAAATTATGCAATTTTTTCAATTTTTTTTAAAACTATTTTTCCTTTTTTTTTTTTTTTTTATTTAAATTTTTTAAAATTTTTTTAAAAAACAAAATGTAACCTTATTTTATAAAATTTATGAATTTTACAAAAGTTTATTAATTCCTAATTTCATCATTGTTATATTCATTCAATTACTTAAACAAAGAAAATTTTGTTTATGAATATCTAAATATTTTAAAATTAAATGTCTAAAAATTATTAATTTATTATTAATTGTAATGATTTTTTAAAAAAAATCCAATGTATATTCAAAATTTTATTATAATATAGAAAATAATTAATTTTATGTCAGAAATTTAAATTAATATTTAAAAATTCAAAAAAATTTTTTATTTTTTAATTTTTAATTATTATGTTTAAATTTTATAAATATTATATATTTTAAATTTTTGAATCTTTTGATGATATTTTCCAATGCTTTATTATAATTTATATCCAAAAAATAAAAATTTTTTTAAAATAAATATTTTAAAAATAAAAAATTTTGTAAGATAAATGTAAAAAATGTGATTTTGTGTTTTTATGTTCTTTTTTTTTTTTGATATATTATTGTTTAAATCTGTTTAAATTTTCTTAACAATTTGAAAAAAAAGAAAAAAATTTTTTCATTTTTGAAAATTATAATTTATTTTTTTTTTTTTAAATTAAATGAAAATTTTTTTTTTTAAATCTTTTAAAAATTTTTTCAAATTTATATTTTTTGATGGAATTTAAAAAAATATTTCTTTTTTTTTTGATTTAATATTTTTTTTAAAATATTTATTGTTTTTTTTGTTTTTTTTAATTTAAAAAAAAAAAAAGTTTGTGGTTAATGATCTAATATTGTTTTTGAAAAAATATTTTAAGAATTTTTAAAATTTTTCAAATTGGAATTTCACTTTAATTTTTTTGGTTAATTTGAAAATCAAATTTTCAAAAAAAAATTTTTTATTTTTTAATACTAAAAAATTTTATAAAAATTCTACCATTTTTTTTATTCATGAATTTTTTTTTAAGATTAAAAAAAAAAAATCATCTAATTTTTAAATGTTTTCAAAAAATTTTAAAAATTAAATTTTGTTCAAAATTTTTTTTATTTTATTTTTTTAAATTTTTTTATTTCAAAATTATAAATTTTAATTTTTTGAAAAAATTGCAAAAAATTTTTAAAAATTTTTTTTTGAAATAATTTTTTTTTTTTTTTTTTTCAAATTTTTTTTTTTTTTTTTATAAAAAAAATATCAATTTTTATTTCATTTTTTTCTAAAAAAAAAAAATAAAATTAAAATAAATTTTATATTTAATTTTTTTTTTGAAAAATATTTTAAAAAAAAAAAAAATTTTAATTAATTAAAAAAATTTCATTTTTATTTAATTTATTTAATTTTTATTTAAAATTTATAAAATTAAAAATTTAAATTAAAAATAAAAATTTTAAAAATTTTTTAATCAATAAATTAATTTATTTTTTAATTAATTTTTAATAAAAAAATTTAAAAAAATAAAATTTAAAATAAATTTTTTAATATTTAAAAAAAAAAAAAAAAATATTGAAATAAATTTAAAAACATTAAAAATTTTTATTTTTTTTAATATTTTTTTTTAAAAAAAATTTATTTTAAAAAATAAACAAAAAAAAATTTAAAATTTTTTTATAAATATTTTTTAATGAAAAAACTTATAAAAAATCATTTTTTTTTTTTTTTTTTGTTTAAAATAATTTAAATTTATTCTCTTAAAAATTGCATTTTTTTTTTTTTGAAATGGTAAAAAAAAGTTTTCAAAAATTAAAAATATTTTTATTTTTATATCAACATTTAAATAATTTTTTAAAAAGTAAAAAAAAAAAGTTTAAATAATTTATATTTAAAAATTTTTTGTAAAAAATTTTTTTTTTAAAATAATTGAAATATAAAAAATTTTCATAAATAAATAAAGAAATTTAAAAAAATTTTTAAATTATTTTTTAAAAATTTTTTCATTTTTTTTTTTTTTTAATTTTTTTTTAAATAAATTTTTTTTTTAAAAAAAAAATATGAATTTAATTTTAAATTTATTAAAAAATTAAATTTTAAATTTTTATTTATTTTTTTAAATTTATTTTCATAAAAAAAAAATTTCAAAATTTTAAAAATAAAAAAAAAAAAATTTTAAAAAAATCTTTAATAAATAAATTAAAATTTATTTTTATTAAATTTTAAATTTTGGTTTAAAAAAAAAAATTAAATTTTAAAAAAACAAATAAATGAATATTTTTTTTTTATATTTATATTTTATTTCTATTCTGAAAAAAATTCAAAATATTTAAAAAAAAAATCTCAAAAAAAAAAAAAAATCAAAAAAAATTTTTTAATTTTTTTAAAAAATAAAAAAATTTTTTTAAATAAAAATTTTTAATTTTTTTTTTTTCATTTTTCAAACAATTCATTTTATTTTAAAATAATTTTTTTTTATTTAATTGAGTATAATATATTATTTGATTCAATATAATGAATAAAATAAATTGAAATAAAAAATTAAAAAAATAAAAATTCTTTTAAATTTATTTAATTTATATGATTTTTTTTTTTTAAATAAAATTTTTTTTTTAATTTTTAAAAATGAAAAAAAAAAACTATTTTTTTAAAAATTTTTTAAAAAAAATTTATATTTTAAAAAAAAATGAAAAAAAAAAAAAATTAAATCATTATAAGAAATTTTCAAATGAATTTTATTTTTTTTTTTATCAAAATAATAATTTTAGAGAATAATTTTTTTTTTAATTTTTTAAAATTGAAAAAATTTATTATTTCAAAAAAAAAAAAATTAAAAATTAATTTAAATAATTTTAAAATTTTAAAATTTTTTAATAATCTATCTATTTATTTTATTTTGGATTTCTATTTTTTTATTGATATTTAAAATTTTTTTAATTTTAAAAAAAATCCTCAAAATTGATATTAAAATCCAAAATTTTTTTTCTTTTTTTTTTTAATTTAAAAAATTTTTTTAATTTTTTTTTATATATATTTCATATAAATATTATATTAATTTAAATTCAAGACATAAGGATTTTTAAAAAATGAAAAATTATAAAATTTTATTTATTTTCATTGAAATTTTTTTTTATTTAATTTAAAAAAATAAAAAAAATTTGCATTTAAATAGATATTTTTTTATTTTTTTGTCATTTTTAAATTTGAATTAAAAAAATATTTAAAATTTTTTAAAATAAATTTATTTTTTTAAATTTTTTTTTTTTTGTTTTCATATTTTTTTGAAAAAAATGTCAAATAAAAATAAAATAATTAAAATTCAATTTCATATTTATTTTTTTTATAAAATATTTTTATATTTGGAAAATTTTTTTATTTTTTGTCTTTTTTTTGAAAATTTTTTTAAAATTTAAAATTTTTTTTAAATATTTTCCAATAAAAAATTACTGAATAAATTTTTAAAAAATTTTTTTTATATTTAATAAATTTGTATTCAATTTTTTTTATTTTTAATTTATTTGTTTAAATGTTATTTTTCTAATTTTTTTGATAAATTATAATTTTGAAAATTAAAATAATTTTTTCAAAAAATTTTTTTAAAAAAAAAATTTTTCTATTAATTTTTTTTTAAAAAATTCATTTAAAATTTATTATTTTATTTTTTTAAAAAAAATTTAATTTTTTTTTTTTTTTTTTTTTTACAAATTTATTTTGTTGAAATAAAAAAATTCAAAATTTGAATTGATTAAATTTTTTTTTTTTTAGAAAATTTTATTTTAAAAATTTAAAAAATTTTTATATTTTTATTTTTTTTTTTTTAAAAAAAATGAAGACAATGGGTTATTTTTTTTTAATTTATTTTTGAAACATTTTAAAAATGATTAAAATTTTAATTTTAAACAAATAAACATTTTTTTTTTTTTTTAATTTTTTAAAAAAAAATTTATTTTTTTCAAAATTTATTTTTCATTGATTTAAAAAATTTAATTTTTTTTTTAAACAAATTAAAATTTTAACTGATAAAAAAATATTAATTTCTTTTTTTTTTTTAAAAAAAAATTTATATGATTTATTTTTAAATAAATACTCAAATTATTAAAAATAATTTTAAATTGAGAATTTTTCAATTTAAATTTTAATTCAAATTTAAAATTAATTTTTTTAAAAACTTATAATTATTCATGATTTTTTTTAAAAATTTTTTAATTTATTTTTTTTTTATCAAATATATATTTAAAAATTTTTTGTTTTTAATTGAATTTATTTTTAATCCAATATTTTTAAGTTGTCTTTATGAAAACAAAAATTTGGTTTTTTAAATTAAAAATTTTCATATTTGTATTTAAAAATATTTTTTTTAAAAATTAAAATTAAATAAAAAAATAAAAAAATACCCTTAAATTTCATGAAAAAACTATAATTATAATCAAAGGGAAAAAAATTTTTCTTATTTTTTTTTTTTTTCAAAATCAAACTAAATCTTCTTTTTTGCAATTTAAAATAATTTTTTATTCTTTTTTTTTTTATGTGCCATGTCCCTTCAGGACGTAGGCGATCATGGCTATCCATTTCTTCCTATCCCTTGTAGCTCTCAATAAGTTTTGTCTTTTTGTTATTTCTCCTAGACCCTGTTCTGTCATCCACTTGCTTAAGCCTGTTAAGTATGTCATGCATTGCTTTTCCTTGTCCCTCTTCCCCTCTATCTGTCCTGTGAGTATCAGATTTTCCAAGCCCTCCTTTCTCATTATGTGTCCCAGAAATTTCAGCTGCCTCTACCTGATGTTAAGTATGAGTTTCCTTTTTGTTTGCATCCTCTCCAAAACCTCATCATTGCTCACATGTTCAGTCCATGGTATCCTTAGCATCCTTCTGTAGAACCATATTTCTGTTGCCTTCAAGTCTCTTCTTCATCTTTGAGGAGACTGTCCAACATTCACTGCCATAAAGGAGGACAGATATCACATAACAGTTCAGTACTCTTTTCTTTGTTTTTTCAAAAAAATTTCCTTTCTGTCTCTTAATACTCTGCCTAGCTTTTGGAATGCATCTTTGGCCATCCCAATATGTCTTCAGATCTCAGTGTCACACTTTCCATCCTCTGTCAGAACACTTCCCAGATATTTAAATTTCCACCCTGCTTTGATTTTAGTGTCCCCAACCTGTAAATTTTTTTGGGCTCATCTTTTTTGATGATGACCATGCATTCTGTCTTCTTGTAGTTTATGCTTAGTCTCTTCTTACTCTCCTTCACTACCTTCTGTAGGAGATTTTGTAGTTTCCTTTCCGTGTCTGCTATCAGCACTGTATCATTTACATATCTTAAGTTGCTAAGATTGTGGCCGTCAATGAGGAATCCTGGTAGGATTTCCAGTTCTCTCAGAATTGCCTCACTGTATAGGTTGAATAATTCCGGTGAGAAGACACATCTTTGCCTTATGCCCCTTTCTATTTTTTGTATATCTGCTAAACTCATTTTTTATCTTTATGTAAGCAGTTTGTTGCCAGTATAAGTTTTTGATTATTAATGTCTTTTCTGAATATGTCAAGGTTGCTGAGCAGCTCCAACAGATCTTTGTGGCATACTATGTCAAACACCTTTGTGTAGTGTATAAAACACTGGTGCAAGTTCTGCATTTGTATTGCTTTTTCTGATAACATTCTGAGCATGAATATCATTGTTCTGGTGTCTTTAACGAACTCGAACTGTTCTTGTCCTGTTTCTGGCCTGATTCTGCTGTGTACACTATTCATCAGAATATGGATGATGAGTTTTGTTATATTGCTCATTAGGCTGATTATTTAGTGGAGTTCACATTCGTTTGTGCTTGGTTTCTTAGGCAGTGCTATGAAAATAGATCTGCTTAGATCTTCTGGTATATCCTTGCCATTGTAGATTTCATTTATTATTTCCATAATCTTGTTTATGCCAAAATCATCTAATGCTATCAGCATCTCTGTTACAATTTCATCTGGCCTTGCCATTTGTTTCTGTTCAATTTGGCCAGTGCCGCTTCCACTTTGGTTTTAGAATTTCAGGTCCATCGGTAATTCTGTGCATTGCCGGTCGTGGAAAAGTTTCAATGTATTTATTTCAGTGATGAAGAATTTTTTTTTTCTCTAATATGATCCTTCCATCCTTGGATTTTATGCAGCCTGTTGAGAAGCATGTCTTCTGTCCTGTTCATTTATGTATTTCTCTTTTGTTGGTGGTATTCAATCTATTTCTGCACATTTTTGTTTAGCCACTCTTCTTTAGCTTGCCTGCATTTGGTTCTTATTTTGTTGTGTAGTTTTCTGTATCCTGTTCCAGATATTGGCAGAGTTTCTGTCTCCTTTGCATTATGTTGAGAATCTCATCAGTGAGCCATTCGTTTTCTTCTTCTTTGTCCACTCTCCTTTAGGATGATATCATTTGCTGATATCACTAAAGCTTCTCTTAGTGTGTCACATTTTGACTTTCTATTTTGTCCCTCGTATCTTCTTTTCACACTGTTCATATATCTTTCCTTTGGGTTCAGGTCACTCAAGAGTTTGTTGTATTGCAATTCGGGTGCTGCATTAGGCTTCTTCAGTTTCCGTAGTTTCACTCTTAGTTTACATATTACAGGGAAATGGTTACTTTCGCAGTCAGCACTTGAGTAGGTTTTGCAGTGACCATTGCATTCCTGAGTCTTTTGTTGATAGTTATGTTGTCGATTTGGTTTTTAGTTTCTCCTCCTGGGCCTCTTCATGTCCATAATCACTTCAAAGCATCCATTAGTATTGCCATATACAACCTCGGGATGAGTAGATGGGCAATAGGTTGGTGGGGGAAGATCAGAGATAGAAGTTGTCCCGAGTATCATCTTCATACCTACCCGAATGAGAAGGCGAAGCCTGAATAAAACATCTACATATAATATAGAGAAACAGATCTCTTTCTCAGTTCTTGACATGGTGCTTGTCTTTCATCATGTTTTTCCACAGCTTTTGATGTACACCGACGAGATCGGGAATTGGAATGCTAATCGTTGGTTGGTCGGTGGGTAACTTAGGTGAGGGTGGCATTGTATGTTTACGATAAGCTTTACTTCATATAAAACAAAAACTAACAGAAGCAGACATCCATAAATGTTTAGCTTATTCAAGGTTACATATATGATATATTTAGTGGTAGGATTGAATTCTATACCTCAGAAAATATTTGAAAGGTGAGCGTAACCACTGACCTACAGCAGGAACACCAATAACCCAAATTATACGAAAAGGACGTAAACATTGAGTAGCAATAATTGAAAATAGGTTTTATTACCTGAAGCTGTAGAAAATACTCTAATGATGTAGTCATCGTGTGTGGACAATACGACCTGGTCCTCCTGCATAAAAGTGGCTGATTCAACATCAGCATTCATTTCAACAGCAAAATCCTTGTATCTTTCATGGTACTCCTTGTCAAACATATGACAGTGGACGTTCTCTGAAAGATTAAAAAACATCAAATATTTATACCATATTTTATTAATTAAAGTGTGTTCCAATAACTTGAACTGATTTTAAATGTGAATTAAGTTTAAGCATCTAATGATTTTTTTCTTTTTCTTTTAGATTTGGCAGACATTTGGGTGATATTATTTTTCACACATAATTCCCATTACTTAAATAACATGATCCAATAGAGAAATAAATAAATTTTCACCAATAACACTGATTTATTTACTGCTGACTTTGATCTGCCTTAATGAAACACAGTTTACAACGAACTTAATGCAAGTAATCAATTTTAACATAAAATTGATCTCATGAGGATGTTTTTTTACCAGATTCCTTGTTGTAGCAGTTATCAACTCTTTCTGAACCCAAATCTTCTTTCAGTCAGTTTAAACTGACAACTTTTTTTTCATATACTGTGACCATTTTCCTTAAAGTTTGTATTTTTTATACTAATTCATCCAATACAAGGCTCGAGGGTCACTCAAGGTAGAGAGTTAAGAAAATAGTAATGCTGAATGAAATGTGTGGTATGAATGGAAGAGAAGGTGGTAAGAAATGAAATCTTTTGCTTTTTTTTCAATGGCTTTTTCCCTTTGTGCATTATTTAAAACCAAAACATTTTTGGATCGTAAGTATTTTTTTATATCAATGGATATTGCATTAAAAATTTCTTGAGAATAACAATGATTTTTCCAGATACAAGTCCTACAATTTAACATGCAGCAGGGAGGAGATCTATTCACCCCTTTCCCAAGGGTTGGTTGATTAGATTTTTTATGGCTTACCAATCCTTTAGAGGTTATTTAAAGCCAGAAAATATTTTTAGATTGTAAGAATTTTTTTTTTATTTTGAGATAGTAATGGTTTAGTGATACAAGTTTTACTAATTAACACATAGATGGTTAAATAGAAGTGGTTGATCCACATCTTTACCAAGGGTGTAAGTGAATATAACGAACCCGACTGGGATTGGAATTCGTCTCTCTTATTAACAATTTTGAGTCATTATCCATTGCACCACACACAAAACCAATCTTACAGAACCTGATATTCCCAAACTGTAACTCATCTAGGTACTAACCAGGCTCAATGTTGCTTAACTTTGATCGTATGGGAACCAATTTTTCAATGTGATATGGCTGTAGTCCCCCAATTCGAATCATGTTCACTGTGAAATATATGAATCCACCTCTTCTCTCCCCAGTTATGGGTTAATTAGTAGAAATTGTATCAGTAAATTATTATCTCCAAAAGTTTCTTACAATCTAAAAATATTTTATCGTTTTAAAATAACCTGCAAGGTTGACAAGTCCTAAAAGTTTCCTTATAAGGAAACAGCCAATGTTACCATTATTATACATGTATGTGCAAGTAGTGCTTTACCTTGTGTAATGTTCCAAAGCACAGTAGAAAATATATTGTCCGTCCTGTTGATGTCAAGATATTTCTTAACCATTAATATCAACAAAGTACCGTCACTTGATACCTGAACGGCCTCTTGGTTCGTCAACATACTGTTGCAAAATTCAATGTCTTTTGGGTTCATTATGTGCAGTATCTCATATTGGAGCATGTCTACGATGAGGACACAGTCACCTTCAGTAAATGCCAGAGCGATGTTCTCACTTTTGTTTATCTGCATTAAAAAAATAAAATAAAACAGATTAGTTGAGAAATTGATAGCAAGGATGGGAACAGTGTCAAAATGTGATGAAGTGAAACGGGGCAAGTCAGTTCAGAAAATAAAGCAGACAAATAACTATTGAAATGTTGGAGATGAAGAAATTCAAGAGAAGAAAAAAAGCAATCATTACTAATGGCAGCATAAATACAAGTGTTTCTATTTGAGACCATTTGATAGCTACTTTTAAAGTGCGATCTTCTAAGCAGCATCCACTTTGGACAAATAGGTAGTAGGAAATAAAGTGTTGGATGAGGAATTTTTGGAGATCAATTAGCGACAAAACTGGAAATAAGTTATATATCCAGGTGATGCTTGGAATCGGGGATAGTGCTTGTCCGCCCTTGGCTGGAGGTGTCCGTGTCACTGTCCTGAAGCCTCCATTTCATATTGCTAGGCACCACGTCAAGATGGCTAGATGTGAAAGGAGTTGGTAGGGGGAAGAGCTAAATTTGTCCCTAGCAGCACCTACCTATCTACCCATCCGAATGAGCATGCGAAGCCCTGAATAAACCTCAGCATATAATATGGAAAACAGTGTTTGCGTTCTTAGTTCCCGACAAGGCCGTTTCCTTTATCGTGTTACCTTATGAGCATAAACAGGCCGAGATTATTATTCTTTTTTAGAGAAAAATCTACCCGAGACATCATTATCCTCCCCCTCCCTTTATTAACTATTCAGGAAATTTCCTCTCAAGCCTCAATTTAGGTTGTGAGTCCAAAGTGAAAATTAATGAAAATTATAAAGATAAAATGAAGTGAATAAAAATTTCTAGCTATCTGTTTTATTCGAATTACCCCATTTGAAATTCAAATGTATTTAATAGACAAAATAATAATAATAGTATTATTTTGAATGCGAGAAGATGTTAAATGTTTTATTCTCGTGAAAAGGTGAAAGTCTATTTGAAAGAAAACAAAATTGTTTTCTGAGGTTACTAATATCTACGGAAAGAACAAATCTTTTAACTTGTTGGGGATGTGCAGAATAAACTATTGAACTTGGGTTAGTATTAAGATGAATCAGAAGGAAATTTTATGTGAGGTTGTGTGAACTTTTCTGCATCCACAAACAAATAAACAATTTCAATATAAACAAGACAAACATACATCCAATTGAACACCAATAAAATCATTTATACAAATACGAAAATATATACAGGGTATTTTTAAGTTTGTTAATGTGTTGGCGTGCTCGTGAATTATGTAGTTTTATGTATGTCCTTTTTTATGTCTTGTGAATTAACGTTACAGTCTTTTAGGAAATTGTAATGAATATTTGAAATATAGTTAATTGTCTTTCAGAAATGCGTCATTACGAAGTAGTCTACCTTGGACTGCAAAATTGTCAAAATCGTTCGGTGATGTTACTTAAGATAATAGTGAATGTCAATTCACTTTTGATAAGTAATTCAGATAAAAGTTTCGTGCGTTCACAGAGTGTTTCTTCGATTCGAGCTTGCGTATGAGTCAGCGATAATTTAGTTGCGCGTTAGTTTGCGTGTTAATTTGCGCGGCAAAGTTGTAGTTGCAAGTGACGTGGATTATATTAGCATATCTCTGTGTTCGTTCGACTGACAATATTTATTGCTGTGAAAAATACAACAAATGTGGAACAAGGCCAAAAAGGGGGTTGGGGTAAAGGACGGTGATCACTTGTCTTAATTAAAACTTAGCTAGCCACAACCACTGACCCTATCATACAAAACAATATTTCTTTCACCAAAACAACACATTTATGATTTATCCATACCTTTCTTACTACATCCACCAAAATACCTCTTTTTTTCAATGAAAATCCTAAATAGTCCCCTTATGTACAAATATTGTTCTGTGGGGGAGGGGCATAAAACAACAATTTTTTTGAAAAGATCCCCAATGAGTATATACAATATGACATAAACTATTTACAAGAAACTAAACAAAAATGTGTTAGTAATAAAAAACCACAAACCTTAAATGTGGCAAAATATCAGTTAACCGGACGAAATCGATGCGGGACTATGAAAATAAAGAAAACATTTATTCCTCCAAAACATTCACACAGGCACACACACATTCATACAACAACAACAAATACGAAAAACACACACGCGAAACGAAAGGCTCCCCGCATCCACCAGAGAACTGATATCACTGACCACCTAAACGAGGGATGGATGGGGAGTTAAACTAAAGGAAAAAAAAAAAAAGTGGGGAGAGAAATAAAAGGGGCCAATGAGCAAACACACCCTAGCTAAGTTTACCGAAAATGAAAGAAAACTAAAAAATTAAATACAAAAAAAAAAAAAGATTAGCCTAATCTTGGGATGGGTTTGCCTATGTTCAACCCAGAAAATAATATCCTGATGCCTAACCGGCATCAAAATGCCACTCAAGGTCAGCCCCTTTTTTCTGACTCGACACATACGCGCAAGATTCACCCACCTTTTGCCAAATTCTGATGAGGGGAGCCGCCGCCTTTCCGTCCTAATCTTGACTTTAAGCTGATGCTTAAAGAACAAGATCAGTTGGGAAGAAGTGAACTTCTCGCCCTCATAGAATTCCTTCTGACGCGTCGTCCAAATCACGACTCTCAAAACCCCTAGTAAGCAACAGAACACAGTGTTCAGCCTTCGTCATCTGCGGCACCACATTGCTACAAACAGAACTGGCTTCAAGGACAAAAAACTTTCCCTGCAGCATGCGAACCATGAGGCCTTCAATAAACCTGCACAACGGCACTACCGTCCTGAAAAAAGGCGTGAATAATGGTCTCGACTTCCCCCTGTACAGCGACGACAGTTTGGATATTTCTCCAAGCCTGCTGAACAAAGTCTCTTGCCGACCCAGAGGGCCCCACGAATCACCAGCCAGGTGAGTGATGCCTCATCATTATTGAGACATTTCAACCCAGGCGCCCAAGGCCATATCAAGCGAGTCTCCTGCTTCGTAAGACCGGGCTCGCCAATCAGATCATCTTGAACGGCCCCCCTAACTAACAGTCGATACAATGCCTTACGAGACAACGCCTGTTGGAGAGGCTATTTCCCGTAAGAGGAGTTTCAGACACAACGACATTCGCGGTAGAAGGAGCACTCGGCTCGGGGTGTACGGCCGGCCTCCTCCTCGCACGAGTGCACACTTCTCAGGGATGGGAAATTTTACGGACGTCTTCTTTCCAGAAGGCGCCCACCTCATCCGAACCGCGACACATTCGGTCTAGAAAGGTAATGCGAAGCATATGTTGACGAATCTCAATGCTAGGCATACCCAGACCGCCCTCAGAAGGATGAAGGCAACAGATCTCGCGAGATACCCTATGGGTTTGTCTCTCCACAAGAAAGAGAACAAGGTCTGAACTAATAACGTTAGTTTGGCATACGAGAGTGGAAGTACAGAGTCGGTACAGGAGAATCAGGATAGATGTGTGAAACACATACTTCCGCCCTTCCCTTCAGGGAAATGCTCCTCCAAGACCACAGATTAACCGCGATCTCGGCCTTCCTTGTACCTCCGACCAATTCATTTCCAACTGGAGATCAGGACCGAACCAGACGCCGAGTATCTTGATCGGCCCATCCATCCAGAGGAAAGGTCCGGGAAGAGAAACTCCCTTCCACGCACGCAACCGCAAGCCAACAGACTTATCGCGGTTGATCTTGGCCTCTGTCACCATCTCATACCCACTGATTTCTTTGCTGACTTCGTCAATCTCGGCTCTGCTCGACACAAGAACCGAAACGTCGTCCGCATAGGCAGAATACCTGGCTGGGGTGGTAGCCCCAGGCAGGGCAATTCCGCGTAGGACCGGATTCGCCTTTACCTTGCGAAGGAATGGTTCCAACGCAAGAACGTAAAGCAAAGGCGAGAGCGGACAACCTTGACGAATGGAGCGAGACAATACGAAAGGCTTCGATCTTACCCCATTCACTTCCACCAGCGCACCGGGGTCGCATACAAAAGTCGGATCCAGGAACGAAAGTCGGCTCCGAAACCGGCCGCCGAAAGGACAGCCTCCAGAAAACGATGGTCAACCCTATCGAAGGCCTTGGACTGATCTAAATTGATCAGCGCGGCTTCACTGTCGACTTTTTCTAAGATCAAGCGTACCATATGAACGTTATCCTGAATAGTCCTGCCCTTCACAGCACAAGTCTGTTCAGGGCCAATCAGACTAGACAGGAAAAGCTGCAAACGGTTGGCTAAGATCTTCGCCAAAATCTTTAACTCAGTGTTTAACATGGTTAAAGGGCGAAAATTCCCTAACCCATCCCCACCGTTCTTGTCCTTACGCAGCAACTTGATCACACCCCTGGTGAAGCGTTGAGGTACAGACCCCTGCTTCATCCAGTGGTTGAAAATCAGTTCCAGCAAAGGAACAAAAACAGGCGACTGCCTCAAGTAAACTTCGTAGGGAAGACCATCCAGTCCCGGAGATTTATCCAGGCCAACCTTGCTTCAGCGCATCCCAGATTTCCGACTCTGTAATGGGACCCTCGCACCTAGCCGCTTCAGCTGCCTCGAGGGCAGGGAAAGTCGGCTAAATAGGCGTCGAACTGAGCAGAGCTCAGACCGGGCTCCCTGGCGAAAAAGATCCTGAAAGTAATCCCGAAAGGCCTCGCATATGCCCGCGTTTGTAGTCACGGTCCGCTTATCCGGCAATGTGACGCACGGTATATGTCGCCTAGACGCGTTCCGATTTTCCTCTGCACGCAGTTCAGCGGCCATATTCGTCGCCTCAGAAGACATTCTTTTTACCTAGCCCTAACTACCAGAGCTTGATCCTTCTTGATAAGCAAGGAGGACAACTCTGCCTTAGCTAAGTCTATTTCCCCACTAACACGGAATTTCACAGCCCGATCAACTTTATTTTCTAAAGCCGTTTGCGCCGCTAATCTATCTAGATTGAGTCGACGACTAAAATCGGCAGCAAACGTTCTAATTTTAGATTTTAATTTATCCCACCAGGCGTT